TTTTTTTTTTTTTTTTAAAAAAAAAAATGTTAACGATTAATTATATGTAAAAAAATGTAGGATGTTAATATATATAAAATACAAATAAATTAAACGCGTTTGTTATATATAAAAAAAATAAATCTTAATTATTTTGCGTAAACATCTTCGGTTTTAAGGGGAAAATCTATTTATATACGGTATAATTCCGTTAATTCTATATTAATTGTTTCTATATGTTTGGTTTTTTTTTTTTAAAAAAAAAAAACCATTAGTCTAAAGGGGAAAAAAAATTATTGTGAAAGTTTTGATAAAGTTTTGTTTGATAAGGTTTTGAATATTCTTAATTATATAAACAATTTACAGTCGTATTATTCAAAATGGAAGAAAAATAATGTTAAATGTTGAAAATTAAAAATTGAAGGCGAATAATTGATTAAAAAAAAAAACGTAAGAAAATGAAAATGAAATATAAATAAGATAATGTTCGTCTTGTTTGTTATTAAAAAAAATATAAAGTCACGAAAGAAATCGCGAAATAAATAAATAAAAAAAAAACGAATATGATTGATTGTGACACGACGATCAATGATGTATGACAAACCAGGCGTCTTAGGCTTTTTCGTCACCAGTCCAATTGACATCAATATCTAATTCAATTCTATGTTCTTCCAAGAAGGAATCGAATTCATCAGATCCAACCCAAAGGTCATATTTCAATAATCCAAGGAAAGAACGTTCCATAGTATTTACATCTTTGTTTGTATAAAGACCATTTGTAATATCAGCAATGGTTCTATTTTGAAGAGAATGATCACTTAAATATTTGCTTGCAACTAAAATGGCGGATAAAAAGATTTTATATGGAGTATCGAAATCTCCTCGAGCTGATGAGGGTAAATTTTTCTTTAAACGATCGACGTAAATCAATCCGACCACCATTGTCATTTTAGAGACTCTCGATCTTGTTGTAACATCTCTGATAAATTGAAGGAGGTTAGGTAAAGAAGCATTGCCAATGGATCGTCTTGAACATTTAAGTACAGAATCACAAGAGCCCGCTGTAAAAGCTATAAATTTTTTTTTTTAAAAAAAAAAAAATAAATAAAAATAAAAATATAAAATTTAGCAAAAATAATCTTTATCTTTGGTTTAATCTATGTGATTTCCTATGAACACAACATTTTATCATAAAATATCAATGTATATCACTTTTGCAATTGGTTCATTTTAAATTAAAAAAATCACTAAAGCAGCTAAAGCAGTAAATACTTTAACCATACATTGACGAAAATAGTTTTTAATAGTAAATACTTACACATGAGGGCATCTCCTCCTAAAACATTATCTCCACGAATTACACTACAAGACATGGTTGAAATTGGTCGCTTGGTTTTTTTTTTGTTGATTGTATTATTTATTTATTTCCAAAAATTTTTATTTTTATTTATTTATTTATTTATTTTTTTCTTGTTGAATTCGCGTGATATTTTTTAAAATAGTGAAATATTAAAATAAAGGATATTTGTGACAAGGGGAGGAAATTTAATTGATTTATTTATTTATTTTTTTTTTAAAAAAAAAATCAACTTTTTTTTAGAGGAAAAATCAACTTTTTTTTTAGGAAAAATAGAAAAAAAAATAGAAAAAAAATAGAATTATTATAATTATTATTCAAAATTGAATAATAATAAAAAAAAAAATTTCGGATTATTTTTTTGTTTTTGTACAAAGATTGAGCGCGTATGTTTTTAAATTTTATAAAAAAAAAAAGGTACAAAAAAACTAACGGTTTATTAATATGAAAATCCGATAATTCGAAACTCGATTTGATTCGTTTCAATTAAATATCCGAAAATTATTATTGTGTAATGAAATAAACGTATTATTTTGCTTCGTTAATTGAAACAAATTAATATTCTTTGAAAAAAGAAATGTTATTATATTCAAATATAGAGTAATAATAATAAAATGAATCCTTAGGAACCGAAAATGTTTTATTTTGTCCGAATGCAAAAAGGAATAAAAGAAATTAAAGAGTTGTCACAAGAATAAAAAAAGAAAAAATAAAGAAAAAAAAATGAAAAAAATGAGTAAAAAAAATAAATAAATAAATAAATAAATAAATAATTTTTTTTTTTGCAATTTATTTGTCAACTTCGTGACAAAGGCGATGCAATATTAGCAACGATGCCTTTCTTTCGCAAAGTCAAAAAGCCATTGTCAAAATTGAGGGTTTAAATACACATTTTACAAAAAGAACAATTTTAGATTTATATTATGTGGCTTTTTTTATTTATTTATATATATATATTTTAAAAAAAAAAAATCTCGGTAAAATCTGGGAAAATGCTGGAATTTTCAAATAAGTAAGACCGCGAAATAGCACGCGAAAAAAGAAAAAATTTTATATTTAAAATTTACAATTTTTTTGCTCTAGTAAAAGAAAGGTAACAAAGGCGTTTCGATTAAGGAAGAAGTTCATAATATTATAATATAATTTTTTTTTTTTTTATTTGGAGAAACCACGTCAAACAAAAAAAAACCCAGAGTACAATATAAAAAAAAATTTTTAAATATTATTATTATATTTCTCTTTTTTTTTTTTTTTTTTTTTT